AGAGAAAGCAAGAGCATGATCTTAATCTGGAATACAAGATACCTAAATGCATGGAAAATGTCTCTTTTTATAAGGTAAAATTAGGAATTTATTTTTTTTTTATTTTAAAGTCAATAGATATTCTCATAAACTATTCATACTTGAATTAGAGAATTCATTGTTCAGTAAGAGATTTGTAATAATTATCATGTTACAAATTATTCATGAAAAGAATAACAAAATCATATGTTATATGAAAGATAATACAAATAATCATAATAATAAATACTTATTTGATCGAATAAATAATTATTTTAATAAAAATATAAAACATGTAAAAACTTATCAAATAGTTATAACTTATCATGCAAATAAATCTTTATGGTATCATAGTGTATGTGTAAGAGTTTTTAACCTCATGAGTTTTAACCTCAAATAATTAATATTTTATTCTAGCAAAAGTGTAATATATATATATATATATCTTTATGGTATCATAGTGTATGTGTAAGAGTTTTTAACCTCATGAGTTTTAACCTCAAATAATTAATATTTTATTCTAGCAAAAGTGTAATATATATATATATATAATCATTTTATGTGTATTTTTATCGTGACTTATTTTTAGGTTATTCTCCACAATTTACTTCTTTTTTGGTGATGTGGCAAAAGCTAGCTGAAAAAGATTTTAGATACTTATAGAAAAATCAAGCTAAAATTTTGGATAACTTCAAAGTATAATTATATCACTTTGTACCCAACACTAGAGAGATAATATAGATTTAAAGTCAAATTAAATTATTATTGGATGAATTTGTATAAAAATTAAATCCAAGGATTTAATTAGATTTTTAATAGGACACTTTGATTTAATCAAGACTTAAATTAAGAGTTAATTATGTTTAAAAATTAATTTTGGGTCAAATTAAAGGATTTAATTAAATGTAATGACTTAATTATACTTTAAATGAGTCAAATTAATTTTATTAGGAACTCAATTGGTGAAAAAATAAGTTTGGTAGCCCAGTTTGAACTTAATTGAGAAAATTAAAAGTTTAGCTAAATTAAAGAAATTTACGGCTAATGATCTTTTTTAAAAAGGAGTTGAACTTTAAGGACTAAATTGATCGAAATTAGGGGTTAAATTAAAGAGTTTTGAAATTTTAATGGTTGATAGAAGGTCAATTTGCATAAATTCAAAGTCAAGGACTATAATGAAAATACGCTAAAATTCAAGGCTGATGTTGAAATTTGACAGGGAAAAATTGCATTAAAACAAAAATTTGGGATCAATTAGATTTGCAATTAAAGGAATCAAAAGTCAAAGGACTAAATTGAACTTCAGCTAAATTTCTAAATTAAAATCATAAAATCCAAAATAATGTTGTTTCATTTAAATAAAATGGCATGCTTTTTCCAAACAATAAAAAGGAAAAAAAAAAACCACACGATGCATCATTTAGTTACTATTCATCTTTTTTTTTTCTCAGAAAAGCTACTCATATGACTACTTTTTAATGATATTTAATGCTTCATCTCTTCACCAAACTTGACTAAACATGTACCATTATGATAGTCTAATATTTTACTATACCCTGGTATGGTTTTTTCTGGTTGATTGACACCACAATAGTCATGGTGCTAGCCTAAAAAAGCTAACTTAAGCAATCTTTAACTATCAAAATTTGATAATTCATGATGACCACTTTGAACTAACTGTTGAGATCTTTCTGGACTGAATTAAAGGCCACGATTTGTATAAAGGGCCTATATTTGTCCCTAATAAAGATAAAATATTTATCTACCACCCCCTATAAATAAGGATGAATTCCATGTATTGAAGGAAAAAGAAATTTGAATCCCAAGTTGACAAAAAACCAGCCCCATCCCATTTTTTTATTTGTCATTATCACTCTTCTTCTTTACCGTCGTGACTTTAGCTTCTTCAACCACCACCCTCACCTTACTTACATCATGATTGTCAGTGGCCCATCACCTCTTTAACCCTATTTCTTCATTAATGATAGGAACAACCACCATAAGTTTCTTTTTATTTGTGCAAGTTTCTCTATCAAACTCTCTTTCCAACCAACAACCACACTTTACGCCACTAGCTAGACCACCATCCACCTACCCCCTGCACCAAGTAACCTTCTCCTCTTCCCCATAAAACCATATTAGTTGCATGCAAAATGATATTATACATGTAACATAATTAATTCATATGGAAACTAGGTTAAGTCAGTGACCATATGAGCCGAGCTAAACCCATTTTAGCCAAGTCCAGCTCAAATGGCTAGATCGGGTTCAACTTAAAAGAGAGAGAGAGAGAGAGAGAGAGCCGGGTTCAACTTAAAAGAGAGAGAAAGAGAGAGAGAGAGAGAGAGAGAGAGAGAAAGAGAGGTCTATTAGGCTAAAAGTTAGTCCAACTCGACTAAGTCGAGTTAGACCCGTTCCAGCCCAACTAGTTGGCTATGCCGAGTGCAACCCAATATAATAATATAATAATATAAAAAAATTTTAAAAATAAACTTTAAAAATTTCAAAGGTCATAACAAAAATATTTGTGGATCCTTCGCATGTTTTTTTCAATGATTTCTCATAATATTCGGTTATAAACTTACATTATAAGATACATATCCAATATTAAAATACTCAGTTTTCTACAAAAAATTTTAAAAAATTCAAATTAATTTCTTCTTTCCAAAAAAAAAAGAATGTTTTTATATTAATGCATACAACTAAATTCTAAAAAACTTTCATGTTTTTTTCTCAAAAAAAAGATAAAATCATACTTTTATCATGTTTTAAAATGAAAAAATAAATATCATAACCAGTTCATTATTATCATTTAGGGTTTAACCAAAATAAAAATTAAAAAAAATAACAATTGTTATGTTTGAAATGTTTGAAATTGGTTATATTTAGAAAATAAATGCAATGCTAAAATTAGAGCCTTAAAGCAATTATGATTTAACTCAATAAGATAGAGATTTTCTCATGAAGGGATATCTACCTTGAGCTAGAGACAAGACCAATGGATAAAAACACGATATATTAAAACAATTAAATAACAATATAGCTTACCTTAGATAGGGTATACTAGAAGTGATACATCTTTTCCTTGCACAATCAATATTGTACCCAAACTCTCACAGACCATAGGTTTCAGAGTAACTATAATACTAAGTAGCAAATCTTAAACTCATAATCATAATGATTACCTCCAAACCCTTTTTTCACCATCACTTAGGAGTCAGACCCGTCATTCGACACTACGCAAACTACGACAGGATGATGACTTCTTTAGGGAATGTCTTGTCTGGTTGGACTAAGTTTTATTTGTTTATTTTGGTCTATTTAATTTTAGCTCGTATTTTTATTATTTTAACATGCATTTTTACTTCATGTTCATACACAGGTACATCGAGTATGAATTAATGTCCTCATACATTTTAATTTTGAGAATAAATTTATTTTTAGGTTGGGTGGGGAGTAGCAGTCTGCCTCATGACTTTTAGTAGAGGTTCAGATTCGTGAAACATTCAATTATGAACTGAGTGTTTTCTCGATAATGATGGCCACACTATGCCTCAACCATTCCTTGTAAACCCCTATTATGTCTTTACGTAAAGTGGTCATCAGGTAGTTTATAAACCTTTTTGAGACTAGGTAGAAAATTTAACTCTCATGTAATTTACTAGAACATTCCCTTAGGATACGATCTCTATAATAATTTATTTTGCATCATGGCAGACTTGATCAATAATCTTGAACTCCATAGGATTTTCTTACATGATTTTTTTTTCTAAATATGGGTAAGAATTTAAGATGATATAATTTTTCAAGGATCTAATTGTCTAACAATGGATTTGATACCATTGTTGGGATTCCCAAAACAGATATATACAATAGAGACTGTAAATTTAATTTTTTTTTTTGAGTTCCAAAGATTTTGTTAGACAGATATAGGGTTGTTTAATTATGAAGATTACTTGAAGATTAGATTTTTTTCATCTTTGAACAATTGCTTCAATATGCAATCATGGAGTTTACTATGTAAAATCACATTTATTTTTGACACCATATTCATTGATTCTTTAAATAAGATTTGAAATTATTTTTAAATCTTATTCCATCTTACACTAGGATTTACAATCAATATTATTTGAGAAAAGATGACATAATTTTTCTATTTACAAAAAGTGATAAATCATCTCTTGATTACTTAAATATCTTTATATAATTTATATTATATCCAATATCTACTCATTTGTTATTCTTAATTAAAACAACATGTAATAAGATTAAATTATAACACTTTCTATAGAAGATAATCTACTGATATCAAGTTTAAAAATTACTTACATAACCATCTTGTAAGTCTTTTCATATACACAAATGATTTCTCCATATAAAAGTCTGATGCAAATCGAATTAGTGTAAATGTTATTTGACAAGAACCTATATATTAATTTCAAATATCCCTCATATCTTAGTTTATGAGAAAAACTGATTCATTCTATATAAAAAAGAACATAACAAAAATTAGTTTCAACAGCTATCTATATGTTAATTTCAAATATGAACATAACAAAAATTAGTTTCAACAGCTATAATTAATGTCTATTTTTAATAAAGTATTGACTAGGACCATTTATATACAATGCTTTGATATAATAAAAATCTCATAATTATAACAACTTTATTATTTTCTTTTCAAAGTATTTTTGTTTTAAGAACTTGGTCTTTATTTTAAATTTATTTAAAAAATATTATATATATTAAAAAAATATTTAATAAATATTAACAACAAATAATTCTTTATTAACAAATAAAATATATTTATATAAATAATATCAATATTAAACAATGGACTAACAATTGGCTGCATCATGCTAACCACGTCGCAATCAGCTTTATTACTCTAAATCTTCCTTTGAAAAAAAGATATTTCATTTTACCATTTGATTACTTATTCAATTAATTTTCAAATTTTTTCTCTGGTTCAGACTAGACAGCATCATCACTGAAAGAGAGGATGTCACGAACTTTCATATGTTTGGAAAAACAGCTGAGAATTTCTTAGGATCATCGACACATCAGTTCATCTACAACAATCCATCCATTTTCCCACCTCTGATATTCAAAAACTTACCAAGACTATTATTTTCCAGCTGTGTTTTGGAGCCTTCAGATCTGTCGTATCAATGTGGAACCGTCGTGACAAACAGGCTTGACAACGACCCCATCACTACAGACACACCTCTAATAGCACCTTCAACAGTCATGACAGTTGTTGCGTCAAGCTCTGGAGCTCCTCCTCCAGCAATGTTTGGCCCACCTTACACTGATACAGCAGCTTCAACGGCCATGCAACCGATTGCATCGAACTCTAATGCCCCCCCTCCATCAAGCCCAACAACTCCTGCAGTCCTTGGTCCACCTCGCGCTGATCTTTGCAGCAGCAAAAACAGCCATTACCGCTCCACGACAACCTCTAACCCAATCGTTCACCACAAGCAAGAAGAAGGCTCCAGTTTAGCGCTACAGCGACATATGAAAGGTATAGAATCCAGAGTCATATACATCTTTCTACCCATCGTTGAACAATACCTAAAAATTATCGTACACCATCTTTAAGCTTAACGAACCAATCTTTTTTCCTTGGCCAGCATAAACAACTAACAGTCTTATCAAGCTCAGAGTTCTTTTAAAACAGTCCCATCGAAAGCTAAGGGACCATCTTGGCAAAAAATGTTGGAGCAGAGGTAAGCCCTCTTCCTCGACCATGATGACTCGAAAACAGTACTCGTCAAGAAAATGGGATCCTTAGCATCGTCCGCCCCTGAGGTGCCTTCTCTCAGTGAAATAAAATGTCCCTCTTTCATTAGTCTGTGCAAAGCAATCGTTTGCTTCGGCAGTGGCAATCTTTGCTATAACTAGCCTTTGTTTTATTAAACACAATCTAGAAGGTCATGCAAAACAATTATCCCCTTTGTTGTATTAAACTCAATCTAGAAGGTCATGCAAAACAATTATCAGTTATAAACAGCCTCTATTAACCACCCAATTATCAGCCACAAGCTATATGCCATCAGCCGCCTTCACATTAGAAGTTTGATTTATTTTTTTTCAATTTATGTATAAATAGACAGTTAAGTTTATGCAATTATATATTAAAAAATTAGAGAAAAACGCTAGAGAGAAAGAGAAGGCGTGTATTGAGCTTTTGTTTAATTAATTGTAAGTTTGTTGTTCTTGAATTAAACAGTGTGTTTTATCCTCTCTAAGTATTTCAAAACCACCACCAGTGGTTTCTCCAACCAGCAATTGGTATCAAAGCCCCGTTCGTCCGAAAACAAAAAAGGTTTTGGGTTATATCTGATTTTTTAAAGTTTTCAAAAATAATTTTTGATCATTCCACAATGTAGGGATCATCCATACGAACTCACTGGTGCAAAAATCAGCTTCATTGGAGAATAAGGTAACCCACACACGCCGCCTACCACTGTAGCCCACGCGCAACTGACGCACCCCAAGGTAAACGACTACTGGAGTCCACACGCGTCATTTTGAGTCGTATAACCCGCATAAGCCACCTCTTAATCCGAGCTGTAAGCCACGCCTCCAATCGCGCTGAAGAATATTCCCCAAAATATTCCCGATTCAACCCCAGTGAACCGCTCGACGTACAGAATTGGTTTTTTAACTGATTCACCCTATTTTTGACCCATTCTCAACAAATTCAGATGGGTTATTGTTTTGAGCATTTTGAACCCATCTACGGTGTTCGTTTTGTCAAATTCAACTCACAAAAGATGATATAGTCATTCAATGAGCAAAATGACTATAGAAAATGCACAAACACTTATCCTGAAGCTAACCAAAGATAACTATGATAGTTGGTGCATAAGATTGAAGGCATTTCTTGGATCACAAGAGTGTATAGAGATTGTGCAATATGGTTATGATGAACCAGAGTCCAAAGAAACAGAAGATACTCTACAAGAGGCACAAAAGCAAGTTCTCAAAGTCAATAGAAAGAAAGACAACAAAGCAAAGACCATCATCTATCAAGGTCTTGATAAAGCCATATTCGAGATTATTGTTTTCGCAGAAACATCAAAAGAGATATAGGAGGCTCTCCAACAAAAATACAAAGGTGCTGACAGAATCAAGAAGATTCATCTCCAATCTTTGCGAGGTGAATTTGAATTATTACAAATAAAGTCCTCGAAATCTATTTTTGATTATCATACAAGAATTATGATGATAGTTAATTGGATGAGAAGAAATGGAGAAGCCCTCACAGATGCTTGGATTACTGAGAAAATTTTGAGATCCCTAGATCCAAAATTTAATTTTGTTGTTGTCGCTATTGAAGAGTCCAAAAAACTGGACACATTGACAGTGGATGAGCTTGTGAGTTCTTTGCAAGCTCATGAGCAAAAGATTGTAAAAAGAAATAGAGATAAGGCAATTGAGCATGCCTTACAAGCAAAGTTGTCTCTCAAAGACAGATATGAGCAAGGGGAGACTTTAACAAGTGGATATACCACTCGAGGAAAAAGTCAACAAATACGAGGAGGATTTTAACGATTTCAAGGAAGAGATTCTTAGAGTACAGATTTTAGAGGAAAAGGTGGTAGAAACACCACTAGAGAAGGTCAAGGACAACAAGCATTTACTCCTAGAGAAAGAGGAGGTGGTTACAATAATCATGACAAAAGAAATATCCAATGTTATAATTGCAATCAATTTGGACATTATAGCACTGAATGTCAAAGGAAAGCTCCATTAAAGATACGTGAGCAAGCCAACTATGCAAAGGAGGATGCCAACAGCAGAGGAGCAGTTGCATTATTTGTCCAACAAGGACTTGACAAGAATCAAGAGAATATTTGGTATCTAGATTCTGGACCCAGCAATCACATATGTGGCCAACGAGATCTATTTGGTGATCTAAATGAGATCATATAAGGTCTAGTCACTTTTGGAGATGCCTCAAAAGTTCTATTCAAAGGTAAAGGCAACATCCCAATCAAGTTGAAGAATGGCGATCAAAGCTACATCGCCTTTGTGAGTATAGGTCAACTTATGGAGAAAGGTTATATATTTTTTATAAAGAATTGTCATCTGACAATTATAGACTACAATGGAAGATTAATTAATTGCCTATGTGAAAATGTCCAAGAATAGGATGTTTCCTTTAAACATCCAATATGATGTAGCAAAGTGTTTGAGTGTCATCACCAATAGTGAAGAGTGGCTTTAACACCTAAGGCTTGGACATCTGAATTTCACAATTCTAAAGATACTAAGAAGTAAAAAGATGGTCAAAGGTATGCCCCCACATTGATCATCTAGATGAAGTCTCTGAGAGTTGTGTCGTTAGAAAATGACTTTGAAGCCTTTTGTACACAAGGCATCAGACATCAAACAACACCACCTTATACACCACAGCTGAATGGTGCAGCTGAGAGAAAGAATCAAACGATTTTTGACATGGCAAAAAGTCTACTTAAAGCAAAGAAGCTGCCCACACAATACTAGGCTGAAGCTGTATCATGTGTAGTGTATCTACTGAATCGCTGCCACAATACTAGGTTGAAGATGTATCATGTGTAGTGTATCTACTGAATCGCTGCCTAACTAGAAGTTTGCAAGCTATCACTCAACAAGAAGCATGGAGTGGTCACAAACCAAGTGTTACTCATATTTGAGTCTTTAGTTGTGTGGTATATGCAAAGATCCCATATGTAAGAAGGACCAAACTTGATGATAAAAGTGAGAAATACATCTTTGTCAGATACGGTGATAGAAGGATGGGATACAAGTTGTATAATCTCATCACAAAGAAGGTAATTATGAGTAGAGATGTTATCTTTAAATAAGATAAAACTTGGCAATGGAATGATGACCAAGAAGTAGTCAAATGGATCAGCACTGATTTGATCCTTGAAGATGAAGAAGTACCAACAGTACTTGCAGAAGGTCTGATATTACCTGCAGATGAGCCACAAAATTCGGTACATAGATTCTTTATATTTAACAGGAGAAACACACCAGAATCATCATCAACACCATCATCAGCATCCTCATTAGAAGGACCAAGAAGAATGAGAAATCTAGAAAACATGTATGATGCCACTCAAATCATGAAAGATACAACTCTATTTTATTTCTCTGCAGATAGTGACCCACTTAACTTCAATAAAGCTATCACAAAAGAAAAGTAGATAGAAGCAATGGATGAAGAAAGACATGCCATTGAGAAGAATGATACCTAGAAGCTGACTTATCTACTAGAAAACAAGAAAGCAATAGGTGTCAAATGGGTTTATAAGACAAAGAAGAATGCAAAAGGAGAAGTGCAATGATACAAAGCAAGATTAGTGGCAAAAGGCTACAAACAGAGAGAAGACATTGACTATGGAGAAGTATTTGCTCCAGTGGTCCGGCTAAAGACAATCAGACTAATGATCTCACTAGCTACACAACATAGATGAAAGATCTATGAACTCGATGTGAAGTCACCATTTCTGAATGGCTTCCTAGAAGAAGAGATCTATGTTGAACAACCATTTGGATACATTAATGCTGAAAATGAAGTCAAAGTATACAAGTTGAAGAAAGCCCCCTACAGTTTAAAGCAAGCTCTGCATGCTTGGAAGACCAGAATTGACAGGTATTTTCAAGATAATGGATTTGAAAAATGACCATATGAAGACACAATATATGTGAAGAAAGAAGCAAATAGCAGCATATTATTTGTGTGCCTATATGTTGATGCCGTGATATTCACTAGAAACAAACCTACCATGTTTGAAGACTTCAAGAAAAGCATGGTATAAGAGTTTGAGATGACAGACAATGATTTGATGGCATATTTTCTTGGCTTAGAAGTGGTACAGAAAGAAGAAGGAATTTTTGTATCCCAGAGCAATTATGCCAAAGATATTCTTGAAAAGTTCAAAATGGAAAGCTGCAATCTGGTATCAACTCCAGTTGAGAATGGAGTGGAATTGAGGAAAAGTAAAGTTGGAAATGTTGATCCAACTTACTTTAAAAGCTTAATAGGAAGCTTAAGGAACTTGATATGTACCAGACCGAATATACTCTATGGAATCATACTTATCAGTAGATATATGAAAACACTAGACCAGTCTCACTTGAATGCAGCCAAGAGAATTCTTCGCTACATCAAAGGCACAATAAATGAAGGTATGTTTTATACCTCAAGTACAAATTTCAATCTTACTGGCTACTCGGATAGTGATTGGGGTAGAGATCTGGATGAAAGAAAAAGTACAACAGGGTTTGTATTTTTCGTGGGAGATACATCTTTCACATGGTCATCCAAAAAGCAATCAATTGTCACGTTATCAAGCTGTGAAGCTGAGTATGTTGCCGCCAACTCAGCTGTATGCCATTTAATATGGTTAAGGAATTTGCTAAAGTTTTTGGGATTTCCTCAAGAAAATCCTACAGAGATTTATATCGATAATCGAACAGCGATTGCATTGGTAAAGAATCCGGTGTATCATGAAAGAAGTAAACATATTGATACACGTCATCACTTTATCAGAGAGCATGTAAAGAACAAAGAAGTCGAGCTGATATCCTGCAAGACAGATGATCAAGTTGCAGATATCTTTACCAAGCCATTGAAAAGAGAAGTATTTATGGTAAAAGTATTTATCAGATTGAAGTTCATGCTTGGCATGACATTCCTTGATAAAGTTTAAAGGAGAGATTTGTTGTATTAAACTTAATCTAGAAGGTCAAGAAAGGCAACCACCAACTGTCAACCGTCCCTGTCAACCGCCCAACTGCCCAGCCACTAGTTATATACCGCCAGCCGCCTTCATACTTGAAGTTTGATTTTTTCTTATTTTTAATTTGTGTATAAATAGGCAGCTAAGTTTATGCAATTATGTATG